CACCACCACCATCATCACCTCCATCAACATCATGATCATCACCACCATCATCATCACCTCCATCAACATCATCATCTGTGAGCACCACTATCTTCATCTTCAAAATCATCATTATCCCCACCACCATCTTCAATTCCATCACCACCATCACCACTGTCATCAAAAATCATCATTGATACCATCATCATCATCATCATCATWATCTATTACGATGATGTCATTCACTTATGAGTTGATTGTTCCCTTTGGCCCATGGCTTGTCCGTGTTGTTTAATTTGATGAGATTTTAAAGATCTAGAGCTGAGGATCCCTTGTTGCACATTCCTCAATCTCCCCACCCACAGGTTTGCATCTCACCTACGTCATCTCCACCCTCATTCTAGAAAGTCACCTTGCCCCATGCTCTATGGCCCATGGCTTCTTCAATTGGTATCATCTTTTTCTTTCAGGTGATTTCCAGTGACAGAAAGGAGTGGTCTCCTTATTTGTTCTAATTAATCCCACCTGACGGTGGACTGCTCTTGGACGCGTCCTACATAGATGGAGTGTCACTTCTCCTTCTTCTGGTTGTGCATGAGGTAGAATCACCCTGGTCCTGGGGTCATATGTGCACTCAGGGTCATGATGTCCTGCTCATTCTCCTGTCCCCCTACCCCACACCCCACCTGTCCCCTCACTCCCCGCTGCCTAACCCAAAGTACCTAAGGAATGATTTCTATGCTTGGTTCAAAAATGCTCTTGTGCATTAACCAAAAGTCTAACTTATATTGTTAAGAGACAGAGAAAGATCCTCTTTCTCGTGATCCCCTCCAGGGTCACTAAAATGTGGATGCCTGGGACCAAGTTCTGTAAATGGTAAGTCMGTGGGGACCTGGTGGGAGCCAAGAAACCAGCATTTGAGAAAGTTCTCGACTTGATTGACAGCAACAGCTCTCTGGCATTGACCTTCTGCACCGGCCCTTGATGTGCACCTGTTAACCAGATGATCCCCCACGAATTCAGACACTATCCCTTCCCATCGGGGGTCAGAAAACGTTTTCTATAAAGGGCAACCGTATGACATACTCTAGGTTTTGAGGATTATATGGTCCCCGATGCAACTCGTGAGCCATTACAGGGTTGAAATAGCCCTGGGCAATACACACATGAGATGTCACTGTTTTTCCTTAAAGTCTTTTGTAAAAAATATACAGCAACAGGAGAGGGAGTTCATGGGTTATACCCCGCACCTTGTTCACCTTTGTTCCAGCAGGGATGATATCCCCTTCCAGGTGGATGCTGGACCTCGTTGGGCTTCTCGGGTTTCATTCATCCCATCTGTCGATACTCTCTCTACCTCAGCAGGTACCCGGGGCACAGCACTGTGCCATTAGCTGACCGCAAGCAGTGGCTGCCCTTCAGCTGCTCGGCTGAGCACACACTCCCCATGCACAGCTCCTCCRTTCCTTAAGAGAGGCTCAGCCGGGAAAATCAATATGAGCTCGGCCTCACGGCCTCCATCGGGGAGAAGGCTGTTTTCTCCATGTCAATTCTCCCCGCACACAATCACTGGGTCCATGACGGATCCTTCACCTTTCCCCTAAGGCCATTCCCACCTGGACTCCGGGGGGCAGGGGCGGAAGAGATGTTTCCATCTCTCTCCAACGGGCTACATCATCACATTGGTCACAGTCCACGGTGCTAACCACTACCTGCCCATCTCCTCCAATAGGCTTGTGAGAAGATGCACCTGTATCAGCAAAGGCGCTGCCATTGTGCTACTCTGCAGCTCACACAGAAGGACGTTTTTCATGATGGAGGGAGAGGAGGAGAACAGGGTTCCATAAATCCTTCAAGGCTCTGGCTCCAATCACTTAAAACTTTCTTCCAACTCCTTCCTACAAGGTGCTACTACCTACCAATACCATCAAGCMGGAGATCAAGCTATTAAGGTTTCCTTTGCAAAAGCTCATGGTTGAAAGGTGGACCCCAAATGCAATAATGAAGTAGGAAAGTGACTAGATCATGAGCTTCTGACCTCATAAGTGGATTAATCCATTGATATGGATTAATCTGTTGATATGGATTAATGCATTGATGTGGATTAATGCATTAATGTGGATTAATCCATTGATATGGATTAATCTGTTGATATGGATTGATCCATTGATATGGATTAATGCATTAATATGGATTGATCCATTTATGTGGATTAATCCATTGGTGTGGATTAATCCACTGATATGGATTAATCCATTGATATGGATTAATCCATTGATATGGATTAATCCACTGATATTAATCCATTAATATGGATTAATCCATTGATATGGATTAATCCATTGATGTAGATTAATCCATTGATATGGATTAATGGACTTCAAAGAGAGTGGTGAAAACCATAGGCAGAGGGGCATGACCACAAGTAGGTCGCAGGTCTTGAAAGGGTATATGTTGTCTATGACTATTTTGTCCTTCCTCTGATTCCTATCCTGCCCTGAGATGAGCAGCTGTGCTCTGATACATCCCTCCACCATGAAACCCTGCCTCAGGACAGGCCCACAGGGAGGAGACCAAGCCAGGATGAACTGAAATCTATGACCCTGTGAGCCCAGATRAACCTTTCTTCCCTGARTTGTTTTTTYYCCCCCTCAGGCATTTCAACATAGCAACAGTAAACTGACTTATACAGAAACGATAGCAGAAATCCTAAGAAAAACGCATTGAACCCAGCACAACGCTAATGGTGCACAGTGCTGGATTTAGATGACTGCATAAGAAGGGAGACTGGTTTCTACGACCCAGTGAGCAGCAGGCAGCCTCCTGGGGATCCTGCATCGTTCCTTKAGCCCCTCCACCAGGAGGTCCGGCATTGCCCTGAAGCCCGACATTTCACCCCACTGACAACTTCGACTGCAATTTGCACAAGTTCATTTTTCTCTTCCCCAAGACGGACTCTCTGAATTGACTCGTGCTTCAGTAAAYCCACCCTTGAGCGAGAACTGGTAGACGAGACGGCAGGCACAGCGGGGGAACTCGGTGTTAAACAGCCTCAYGGATTCGAGGTCATGATTTCCATCTGCAGATGCTGCGCACGCTGGCTCTCCTGTCCCCGGTGACCTCGACCCGGGAGAGCAGCTCTCAACGCTGCGCAGCCCGGATAACAGTCTAATGAAGATGCCCTGATCCCCCGCATGCTCTCATTATGTCCTCCTCAGTAGAAGCCACCGCGAGCTCCGGGTACTTACTAAACAGTGACATCGGGTCTCAAGCCGCTTTCTCCTTTCCTAACTTCTAACTGAAAGAGACGCCTGGGTAACGTCCACCCTCCAAACTCATTTCCTGCACCGTTCCATCCATCCGTTTCTTCCCCGCGTCCTGGGGAATTGGGACCAGGGGCCTAGACACACAAGGCAAGGGCTCTACTACTGACCCACATGCCCAGGCTCTGTAAAAACTCTATTTGGAGACAGGGTCCCGCTCGGTTGCCGAGGCTGGCCTCAACCTTACCATCCTCCTGCCTCAACCTCCCAAGTAGCTGGGATGACAACRATGTGCGTTGGTGACATTAGCGTTCCATTTTCCTTTAGGGAACTGCCTCGTCCTCGTCTACCCTGAGCTAGATCGTGGTGGACTTACCCAGTCCCTTCTCCATGCAGGACTGGGCAGCAAACTCACGTCCAACGGTCTCTTTTCTCTGGAAACTGACCTTGGGTGAGTTGCCATGTGACCCCAAGGGCACCAATGGGCAGCCTTCCCTTTGTGGGCTCGGGGATGATGTCGTAAAGGGACACAGGTGACCCTCTGGATCACCAGCTGGACACAGTCTCTCTGAGAAAGCCCAAGGAGAGCAAGAGAGATGGACCAACTCAGGTGACCAAGGRCAAGGACGGGACTTCTGGGCTCCATGTTGAAGTCACAGAGAACCCAGGRCTCTGAGGAAGTTGGTGGAATGAACATTTTCTTTCCCCTTCTATGAATTCGACCCGAGTTCCCTCCAGGGGCTTCCAAACCGTTCCAAGTAATGATACTTAACAGGTCTCAAAATGTCAGTCCCCACATGACGCTGATGGGAATGGTTTGAAGGTAGAATCTCTGCATTACGAGTCGAGGCTCAACGTTCTCTGGGTCTTCTGCTCTGAGTCCTGCCCATGAAGCATCAGTGTAGACCACAGTTGGGGTCCCCACTGAAATTTCAGTGATTGAGAAAGACATGGGGTGTCCCCCCAAAGCTCATGTGTGTGATAGTACAAGAATGTCCAGAGGTGAAAGGATTGGGTTATCGGAGGTGTGACATCATTAGTGGATTAATCCACTTGGATGGACTCACTGGGTGTAGACTAATAAGTGGATTAATCCACTTGGATGGACTCACTGGGTGGTGACTGCAGCAGGTGGGGTGTGGCTGGAGGAGGGGGTCCCTGGGCTGTGCCTTKGGGGTCTCTGTCCTGTCCCTGGTGAGCAGAGCTCTCTCTGCTCCCTGGTGCCCTGTCCTGAGCTGCTCTCCTCCTCCAGGCCCTGCCGCCATCTTGTTCTGCTCCCCTTGGGCCAGAGCCATGGAGTCGGCCCACCATGGACTGTGACCTCGGACACCAGGAGTCTAAATAAACATCCCACAGGTTAGAAGCAAGTCCTAGGTCCTGGCCACATCTTAGGGGGAGGATTATTCCACAAGAGCMGTGTCACTTGGTTGGAAAACACTCACCTTGGGGAGCCATCAACCAAACCCATCCCCCAGGATGGATAATAGTCATAGAACACGTCACCCCAACTGGGTGGAATCAAGCCATGGGACTTTGCATCATAGCCACTCACGTCTCCTCAATCCAGAGGAAGCTTTTTCGGCAGATAAACTTTGTTCTTATCCAAACTATGAGACTTTGCTAATTTTTTTTGGGGGGGGAGGGAGGATGGTTCCCTCTCCAAGTGGTCAACGTGTTCTCCACGGCATTTCTCACCTGTTGCCAGTTGCATCAAACTTTTCAGCCACCTCCCATCCCAACACCTGAGGTTCCTGGCATGTGGGGACAACCCACCATGTCCTGTCTGSGGAGGGTCCTTACTGTGCATTGGGGATCCTGAGGTTGGAATCTCAGTCACAAAGGGCTCTGTCTTCATGTGTGCGGGTGGCAGGTAGAGAGAATCCACTTGCTCTTGCTTTCTGAATCAGGTTGCAAATCAGATTATCTCCTAAAAAAAAMTGACAGAAGCATGTGGCTTCTGGCTCAAAAAAAAAAAATCAGTCTGTGTTTTAGGCATGTCGGAAAAAAATTAAAAATCCAGCCTGAACTCTTGAGTTGACTGATGACTTAGAGAGACGAATGAGGGGATAAAAACATGTGTATTGGGGACATCGGGATGCTTTGTGCAATTCCATGCAGTGACCAGGGTCAGCCTGCTGCAGAGGGTGACCTGGAAGGGGCGTGAGGTGGAATTTGTCCAGAGTCACAAATCAGCATCTTGAGGGAAGACGACCGTAGACTCCATCTCCGCCATGAGGCTGAGTGGGTGAAGATCCCCAGCTGTTGGAGAAATTACCTGCGGGACGTATCGGTCGCCCTGCAAAACATGCCCATGGCTCTGGTTCAAAGAGAGCCACCCATCCAAGGGCCTTTGAGTACAGAGGACCTCCTCCTTCCTCTGCAAACGCCCTGGTCTTCAAAGCCACTCGGCTCCAGGAGCAAAGAGCAGCTTGTAAAATCCTGATTATAATGAAGCTCTGTTGAGAGCCACAGCCAAAGCGGCCCCAGCAAACTTGCAGCTGATTGGCTCACAGCAGCCCTAGTAAACTTCCACCTGATTGGCTCACCATGRCCCCAGCAAACTTGCAGCTGATTGGCTCACAGCAGCCCTAGTAAACTTCCACCTGATTGGCTCACCATGGCCCCAGCAAACTTCCAGCTGATTGGCTCACTGTGGCCCCAGCAAACTTCTAGCTGCCAGCTGATTGGCTCACAGAGGCCCCAGCAAACTTTCAGCTGCCAGCTGATTGGCTCCTCTGGGGTGATGCTCATTGGGCTGTTTCCCCGCCCTTTCAGACCATGGAACTGCTCATTGGGGGACTCTTTTGGCTCCGCCCACTCAACCCAGCCAATCGGCCTCCAGARCAGGAGGTGTGGGGGGTTGAGAGGCTGGTGGGAAGCCGGTGGTGGCAGTGGGCTCTGGGGGAGTTCCTGAGGAGCTGTGTGGTGTGGCGTGTGTGGTTCTAAAAATAAAGTCCGTTTCTGCTTGACAAGTGGCTCCCGAATTGTGCCCAGCCAGACTGCGGCATTTGGTGGCCCGTATGGGAGGGCGGGGGGGGGGTACCTTTTCATCTCTGCTGAGAGCACCCAAGGGTTAATGAGCAGGAAAACTTGGTCTGTGAAAGGGACAGGATTGAAAGACCCCCTGAGGCTCCKCCTCTTGGAAGATGGGCGGCTTCTGCCATTGAAGTCCCCATTGATGTCCCGGTGGAYGATTTCTCCACTTCAGACGGAGACTGCGTGTTGGAAACGGGGGATCTTCTCAGTGGAGGCTGATTTCCTGTGAGTCTCATGCACGAAGGTGCTGCCCACGGAGTCGGGAAGCGTTTGGGTTGAAAGCAGCTGGACGGACAATTTACATGACAGGCAAGAAAATGTCACCAAGGGGAACCTCCTGTCCCTCRATGGAACCTGACTTACTGCAGGGTCTACTGAGAGGCACAGCTTGCCTCCCTATTTATTTTGCATGAAATTTCACGTAGGAATCCGGCCATCTCACAAGGCTGATATGCACAAGCAGGTGCTGTGCTCGGTCAATGACACTYGGGTCACCCTCATGTTGTATCCAAYGTRGATCCCTCCCCCGCTTCCCGATTGGCACTTTTTATATCCAGGTGAATCTAAAGAGGYGATAAGCAAGAATCGGGGTGTCCAGGAGGTTGGCGAGAAGGGGCTCATTGTGACTGTAGGAGACGACTTCTTGCACATACGTGTCAAGATGGGTCGGAAATCTTTCACTATTTTTACTTATGATTTATCTGCCACCAGTTTCTAATCCTCCACCTTCCATCCAAGATGAGGTCCTGAGAGGAAGAGTCAATCAACATAAAACGGAAGCCATGGGAGGGTGCTGAGGTTGTGTACTGATTTATTGCATAGCAGCTGATCCCAGAGTCACRATGATTCTAATAACCAGTTACAGTGATGGGGACAGACAGACCTGGGTTGTGGGACACAAGTTTCAGGGGACAATTCTATCAATGGCCCCYGGTGCTGACCTCACAGCTTCCTTCCCAGAAGCCCTGGACCTGCAGCCCTGCCTGGCCTCCGGGCACAGCCTCCGCCACTGTCCTCACACACCACCTGTGACCTGCAGGGGACATGCAGGGGACATGCAGGCGGGAAACCATGTCCCTGAGAGGAACCAGGGGACCCTGAAGGGGGGACTTCTGTGACCCTGACGCAGACCAGGTCCCGGGACCCAGGGGGACGAGG